ATCCCCAGATAACAACCAAAGTGAATTTGTTGCCATCAAACCTTCCCTACAAGATATACTTAAGTTGGAGACTTTAATGTTTCCTCCTCATTAACAGATAAAACAACTAAGAAGGTCAACAAAGAAACAGAAGACATGAACAACACTACAAACTAAGAAAACCTAACAGACATCCACGGAACATCTAAGAGGTTAAATTAGTAATCAAAACACTCACTGCAAAAAAAAGTCCCAGGCCCAAATAACCTCAACAGCTAATTCTACAAAACATTAAATGAAGAGTTAACAAAACTCCTTCACAAACTCTTCCAAAAATAGAAATGAGAGAAACACTTCCCAATTCAATTTGTGTGATAATATGAAAAACACAAAAAAATCTCAAGAAAACTACAAATATTTGTTATGAATGCATATAGAAAATCCTCAACAAAATACTTAGTAAGCTGAATCTAGCAACATCTAAAAGGATATCATGACAAGTGGGATATATTTGAGAAATGTAAGATTAGTACAACATCTAAAAATCAATCAAAGGCATACATCACATTAACAGCATGAAAGGAGAAATAATTATATCAAAAGACGCAGCAGTAGCATTTGACAAAATCAAATACCCTAGACTAAAAACACTCAACAAAATATGAACAGATGGGAACTTCCTCAATCTGATAAGGACCATCTACGAAAACCCACAGTGAACATCATATTTAACAGTAAAAGATTAAATGCTTTGATCCTACAATCAGAAACAAGACACAGATGACTGCTCTTATCACTCAACTTGTACTAGAGGTTCCTGCCACAGCAATCATGTGGAGCCGGGGGATGGAGGGGGAGGGAGTATCCAGACTAGAAAGAAAAAGGTTAAAACTATCTGTATTCTCAGATGACAGATTTTACCTATTAATTTAAGAGGAACTAGGGAGCCAGAAGTTTAAATGAATCGTGTACAGGAACACTGGAGGCTACATTTAGAGTTGTAGCAAAACTTACAATGTAGAGGGAAAGTGAGCCCGGGGCCAAGATTTTTGTGAGCTAGGGAATGGGACCATTAAGGAGAAGCTGATAAAGACACATGCCCTAAGTGTCAAAGGAAAGAGGTTTAAGAACACTTTATTCAGAAGTGAAGATGAGGAATGGAGACAAAACCTCACCCCTAAACAGAACAGTTCTAGAGTGACTAGAAAATAAGAATCCTTCATCTAAGAATGCTACTGAGGAATTAGTACACTCGGGAAAAAGTTACAATCAGGTAAATGTAGGGGAAGAGGTCAAGGATGTGGGTTTATTAAGATGTAAGAGCATTTCATTTGGCTAGTAAAACTGCAGGGAAAAGGGGAGATCTGGAGAGAGAAAAAGGAGTAACAGGTTAGGTAAGGTGAAAAGAGAAAGCAGTACTGACAAAAATACAGAGAAAGTAGATGAGTGGTTCTGAACCACCAGTCCCCTGAGTTACAGATACGACATAATCCTATAATTAACTATGACAATGATGAGAATTGAAAGACAGACAAGAAAGGGAACCAGCAACAGTTAAGAAGTCAAAGAAAGGGAAGAGGAACTTTTACACATGTTATATATTAAAAGGCCCTGGGGTTAACACATCCAAATCTTTTAAATTAAGGTATAGAAAGAAAATAATAGTTCTAAGGTTTGCTCAAGTAAGGCTTATCTTGGATGAGGTTTTTCTCTCTATCACCCACCTCATAACTGGCCCTAAGAAATCTAAGAGTCCTAAACCTCACACAGCTACCCAAAAGCCTGAGGGGATCAATCAATAAGCTAGTTAACTTATAACTAGTCCAACAAACCAGTGTGTGTCAATTCACTTGTTGGGAAGTTCTGCCCTGAGTCAAATCAGCAACCGTCAACAGTATTATGCATTTCTCTCTTCTCGTTCAGACTCAAAGAGTGTGGATGACCCACAAATCACTAGTAGCTCAAAGTACACTTCGTAGAAGGGATTTGTTGTCAAGTGTTTGGGGAAATGGCTACATATTTTTCTTTATCACTTTTTGCAACATCACAGTGCTATCATTATATATTAAAGGCACTGGAGTCTACTATTAAAAAAAAATCATCATTTAACTTGTCCTTCCTATAGTCATCTGATCAAACGTTCTCTTTTCTACACCTATTGACATCCAGGAATACAGTTTTTGAAAAATGTTTAACTTTTCTGACAGATAAATAATCAGTCACAGCTTGATCATTCCCAAGGACAGAGATTGCTATCTCCAGGTAATTCATTCCATTTTGGACATTCTTATTAACAGTCTCACAAAGTTGAAACTTGTCACCCTTTATCTTAAAATACATGGATAGTTTTTGCTATCTATAGTTGGAGATCACATTTATTCACTCCTCCAAATGACCTACCAATTCAGCTATGAACCTAAGAGTACTTCTCTGAAAATGCCATGGTGTTTCATGCATGGCTTTGTACACATTATTTTTTCCATCTGAATACTCATCCTTATATAGAAACTGCATGTGTGCATGTTAAAGTCACTTCAGTTGTGTCTGACTCTTTGCAATCCTATGGACTGTAGCCTGCCAGGATCCTGTGTCCAAGAGATTCTCCAGGCAAGAATACTGGAGTAGGTTGCCATGCCCTCCTCCAGGTGATCTTCCCAACCCAGGGACCAAAGTCATGGTCTCTTATGTCTCCTGCATTGGCAGGCAGGTTCTTTACCACTAGCACCACCTACTGCTGCTGCCAAGTCACTTTAGTCGTGTCCGACTCTGTGTGACCCCATAGACGGCAGACCACCAGGCTCCCCTGTCCCTGGGATTCTCCAGGCGAGAACACTGGAGTGGATTGCCATTTCCTTCTCCAGTGCATGAAAATGAAAAGTGAAAGTGAAGTCACTCAGTCGTGTCCAACTCTGAGCAACCGCGTAGAGTGCAGCCCACCAGGCTCCTCCGTCCACAGGATTTTCCAGGCAAGAATACTGGAGTGGGGTGCCATTGCCTTCTCCGAGCACCACCTGGGAAGCCCCTATATAGAAACCGATCCTCTGCAATTGCTACAGTCAAGTTATCAGTTCAACAGTAACTTTCTTGATATACCACTATCCTAAGCAAAAAATTGCACGCTCCTAGAGTCCTGTATACATCACTTCAAGGCATTTATCACCATTACACTGTACTACCGCATTATAACTATCTATATACCTCTCTCTCCCATACTCTAAACACCCTGGCAGCAGGAAATATTTACTATTCATCTTTTTATGGGATGGAAAAGGCACAAAAATCTTCTATCAACCTGATAACTGCAATGATTCCAACTACGCTCACACACTGCGTAATTTGTTTTATCCTTCTCAAAACAATGCTCAAGAAGCCATTACCAATCTACAGCTTTCACCTCTCACACCATCTCCAAATTCATTCCAGCTTAACAGTTTAGCACAGAACTCAACATACAGGTTCTCAATAAATACCTGTTAAATGGTTGAATAAATCTTATCTTGTAAGCAAGGTTCACATTTTAGGTAGGCTTCTAAATTTTTGTAACTTAGCCTTAAATTTACCTTCTTACAAACCAACCATCAAAGATGAAGGAAGCATCATCATCATTAGCAATGAAGACTATCTTTACATCAGATTCTTGTCTGATAGTACCAACTCTCTGATGTCCATTACTTATCAAAAGCCCAGATGTAAGGAACAGAACAGCCAAAATAATGTCTGGGAGGATATGTACTACATATATTCTTCCAGGTACTCTATAAATTTCATCGTGGCATCAGACTTTACCAACAGAAGGAACTTTAGTTGGAGTCCACTGCAGAACTCCAATGATTCACTTGTAGAACTACTTTTTCTCAGTCTAGAGTTCTTTGTAGCATGAACTGAAGAACACAAATAAAAAAGGATTTTTCATTTATGGAATTTATCATTAATTTAAGGAATTAAAGATTTAATGAATTTATCATTAATTCTACTTTGGGATTCTGTCTGAGACCTTTCCACTACATCACAAGGTGTTCTTTTAAGAACTCATGCAAAGAAATTCCTTATAGGTTTCTGTCTCATAAAGCAGATCAACTGAGAAACATATCCTTTATCCATGTACATTATAAATCTTGTAATGGATCAAGTTTTGTTGTTTGCTTTTTGCTCTCTTCTTTTGCTACAAGGAATCTTAGAGACAAATTTCTTTCTTTCTTCAAGAACTCTACAGTACCTCACATTTCTCCCTTTCCACTATTTCTTTATCCCAATTTTACTATTTGTATTAGTAATGTGCTCCAAAAGGACTTTAAGTCCCTAGGGGAATGAGATGAAAGAATAAAAAGGAAAAGAATTAATAACTGCCATTGGGAGCCTACAGTAAGTCAGACACCACTCCAGGCACATTTATCCCTGATCCTTGAGCCTGAGAGAAAGGTATTATTAAGTATGCTTTACAGATGATAAACTGAAGTAGAGAGAGGTTAAAAAATTATCTAAGCTAACAAAGCAACACTGTACCAGGCCAGAGTGTGATACCAGCTTTGAATATAGTCATATTGAACATAGCTTTGAACATAGTCACATTATACATTAGGTCTGGCCAAATTAAAGACTACATTACACTTCAAAAGAAAAAGAATTCTAGCATCATATTTGAGGAATTTTTAAATTTCAACTTATTATATGAACAAAAGAAGGCAAATCACTTGGCACTAATTTCACACATTAATATCTGAAACATAATAAACTTTAACAAAGTAAACACCTGATCATTTCCAAATGAGAACCAGACAATAACACCAAACTTGAAAGCTCAAACAGCAGACATAGATACTTATATTCATGACAAAGCTAAGAAAAAAAGGTTTAGGACAAAACAAAAGAATTAGACATATTATTCCAATTAATATCACGCATAACTTGAAATGTTTTTCGGTGCCTCTAAAAATAAAGGTAAAAAACAGTTTTGAGAGGTTAGGGGGGAAATACGATTCAAAACTATTTAAAAGAGAAAACATATTTTAAATTAGACTCACCTGCTCAAGTCACTTTTTCCATGGTGATGATAGTGGTCAGGATGGCTAAGGTGGTAATGTTCCTGTCCACTCCACCTCTGGGGTGGCCTTTTCCAAAATCCTTCTTGAGACTGTCGAACATTTCTGTCTGATCGGTCAAAGCGATTCATATTGTCACACTCCACTAGACAAATCCAAAAGCAAAACACTAGAAACATGCACATACACTCTATAAACGTTAACTACTTACAGCTTGATAATTAAAGGCTGCTGAAAATATAAAAGCGGTATTCTAAAAATAACAGCCATTTATGTTAGCTGACCACAAAAAAAATCAGGATTTCCATAAGAAAAATGACTAGTTCTTTTGTTAAAAACTGAACTTTATATTATTCAAACTGAAGTAAATTTTAAAAGCTTTTTTATCACAGTCACTGAAGTAACAACAGCCCCACTGTTTTAAAACAAGCAAATTATCCCTGAAATCAACATTATACATTTTAAACACCAGTAATCAGCTCTAAGTGGTTTTCATCATTATCAGTAGTTGGCTCAGACTTCAGAATGAAAATGACAATAAAAAGTAGAAGATTTTAAGTCTGGGAAAGAACTCATTCCTAAAAATGAATGCCACAGTTAATTTTTTACTGATTTCAAGAGGTACAAATTAACTTTTCATCACAAACAAACCGTATTTTTTAAATTAAGCTCACAGTATTAGAAAGTAAAACGTTCCAAACTGCCGATAGTAGAGCTTGTTCAAAAATTCTAAAATGCCACAGAAAACAAAGCCAGTACTTTGCTGCAACAAATAGTACACTCCCTGAAATCCAAATGCCACAAAAACATGAAAAGAATCTCTTTGAAATACCCCAAGCTTCTCCTTCACTTACCCAAACACTTTTTCCTCACATATCTGAGCACTCACTAAGAGAGTTACTTTGTACAAGGGAGACATTGTGTATCCTGCTGCCTACTCAGACATAGTCGCACTGACAAACAGGCCTTCCTTCCTGCCCAGCTCCCAGCCCTCCCTGTGGGAAGCAAGCCCAGTTTACCCTGTGACTCCATCCTCGCTCAGTGCTTACATAGCCTCTGAGTTAGGACTGTTACTAAAAATACAGCTAAACACTAACCCAAGCCAGGAACAGGAAAGGGTTTCCTAGTAGAACAATTATTACACGAGAAAGTTCAAATCCTGCATGTTCAGAATTCCTTGTGATAAGAAAGCTTCAGAAATCAAAAATCCTCCCCAATGGAAGAAAAAAAAAAAAACCTCATTATTTAAATGATTTGTTTTCACACAATTCAAACCTGAATTTGATATGCGGAAACATAGTATACCAAATAAATACAAACTTCCCCACTCCAAAAAAGAAAGGCTGATGCAGTTAAAGTGCATATGTTCAATTCTTATATACACTGAACTCACTGTGAACATATTACTTGTAGATGAGTAACAATTTAAATAAAGTTTCAAAAGATACTGATATTTTGTTTATTAGAAAATTTCCATTAGCGGAACCAATTTTGAGAAAAAATTATAGGTTTTATAGTTTAAAAATTTTTTTAAAGAAGTCTTACATTTTAAATGATTTCTTATCATCTTATTGGGATAAATTAAGATATATATATATATAAATTTTAAAGTTCAATAATGAAAACCTGACTGTTAGGTAAATAAAGGTATGGTGACCATTATGCCAAAAAAAATTAGGAATAGAAAATAAGACTGCAAAAAACAAAAATAAATTGAAAAATAACCCATACAGAGGCTTAAAAATGTTCTCAGTTCACATTTGCATTATACTCATAGACCCAGTTAAGTTCCTTAAGTATTTCTACATGGCATTAGTTTAAGCAACTCTATATAGCTGAGAGATAATCTATATCTACTTTAAATTCTTAATGCATGCAGGTAAAGCCTTCAGGTTTTTTGACTGCTCCATGCAGCATCTTATTTCCCCAACTAGGGAACAAACCTGCACCCCCTGCAGTAGAAACATGGAGTCTTATCCACTGGACCACTACGAAAGTTCCTATTCACTTAGGTAAAATTCCACTCCCCAAAGAAGAAATTTTGTAATAAGAATCTGAAATATGATACCATCAACACAGAGTACACAGAGTATTAAAAAGCAAAACAACAAGGCCAGGAGATGAGGCTAAATACTGTGGGAAATTATAATGCAGAAATCAGTGTGCTGCTCTTACTAATTGATGTGCTGTATTTACTAAGGATTGCTAGTACTACACACAGGCTCCAAATAGAGCACTTTTACTGAAACATGAATTCAACCATCAGCATAATGGCAAATAAGAACTGGAAACAAATATTTTCCAGAACCACAGAGGACTATTGTTAAAACTGGATAGAGGAGGCTTAAACTCTCAGAAAAATGACTGCTCTGAGACTCTGAATGAAGAAAAAGTCCTGCTTATACTACTTACCTACAGCATCCATCAATCATATTTTGATATATTTTAAAATGTTACTGAGACAAAAGTACTAAATAACATTAGTTGTGGCTTCTTAGAAAAAGCTAAGGGTTCTGTGACAGAGGGAAAGAAATAACACAGAAATAAAATGCAGAGCCAATAAAGTTACAAGATGGAGTTAATTTAAAGCAAGTTTCCAGAGTCAATGAAGGAACAGGACAAACAAGAATAAGAAAGGGAATAAACCCTTCTGAATGTGTAATATCATAGGGAAGGATGGGGCATCCCTAAAGGTATTCCAGTTAAAAAATTTTTAACCAATATGCTGATCAAAACTATCTACCCACCAGATTTGACCCTGTGAGTTTAGGGATGGAGAATAAATAAAGGCCTTCTGAAAGGGCTTTCTAGCTACAAAAGTAAAAGGCAACAGATTTTAGTAGTTCTTTTACTATGAGTAAGAGACAAATAATACTAGGATGTGTACCCTCTGAAGAGGGAAAGAGAATCTAATATAGCTAATTGAAAGGTACAGGATATGAAGATGTCTACATCTAACATTCATCATATCCATTTCTTCTAATTTGATAAGGGATAAAATGTGATACCAAAAGTAACCTAGATTCTTTCTCTGATAACTTAAACTTCTAAGAAAATAATGACTGATAACACATAGTATTCCTATTTATGACTAACAACTGGCTATGAAGATAGCAGGAAGAAATTATATACATCACGAAGTCTGGAAAAAATGTATTGCACAGGAGATTTTACAATCTGAACAGGAAAGCTTTTAGATGAAATTTGGCTTGAAAGAAGAAAAGCTCATGTTAAAAAAAAAATCATGAACTTGTTATTACTAAACACCAACAGTACTGAAAAAGAAAATTTCCAGAAGAAAATACAGTAATTAAAAAGTGATCAAAAACAGTACTACTGACCTCCTACGATTATTACCCCAATAAAATGTTTAACAAAAATGTGGCCTTAGGAAACAACATGAAATATGTATAATTTAATAGGCACCATAACTTAGTGGGATAAGATCCAGGAAGCAATGAAAGACGTCTTTTTCAACAGAGAAAAGTTTAAAACAGAACGTGTAAAGAGTACATCTAAGAAAACATACACTATGAAAATTTCATAAACCTTAAAATGACACTATGAATGTGCCAAATGTTAGGCACTGATCTGTAGGCACTGAGTGACCATTAGAAGTGCCTGAGCAAGAAAATAAAGCAATCCACATATATAACACAACTGTTCATTCGAGAGACACTTTAGAACAAAAAGGAAGCAAATCTCAAGTACCCACTGGTTTGCTAAAAGAAATTCAGATTCCAAAACTATTTCCTTAAAAGATTCCTTGACCAAGGTAAAAGAAAAATGCAGAAGAAAACAATCTCTCTCTTTCGATCCTCCCAAATCACAACTCAAATACAAAGTCCTTTTGCCTTTTACTCCTTCTTCCCTCATTCGTGTTCAATTTCCTTCTGCACCACCTCTCCCTCTGTCCCCCTTTCCCGACCCCCTCAAGCTGGCCAGAAGCCTCAGAAGCTCTATACCTCTTAAAGTTAATCTTCCTGCAGAAGAGGGGAAAACTCCTTAAGGTGAATTTTTAGATCTGGTCTCATTCTGGGCTGAGAGTCATGGCTATATACTTTCTAAAGTCTAAACAAGTTTTGGAGATATATGCAGAGGAATTTAAAATAGTTTTAGGAATTGATAATCCAGGGCCCCTATGTCTATACCAATTAATTCCTACATAAGAGGGAACTTTAGGAGCAAAAAAAAAAAAACAGAATGGAAAAGTTACAGTGTGAAAAACCTAAAGTGGACTTACGAACCTATGATTGTGTAGAGGAGGGAAGGTTTTCTCAACTCTCTTTGGGTCTGAAAATAAAACAGACAAGATATATTAACGGGAAAAAAAAGCATACAGACTTATCTAATACGTGACATGCGAGCCTTCTTGAGGAAATGAAGACAAGACCCAAAGAAACAGTTAGACCTGTGTATTTTTATGCTAGGCTCAAAGAAGAGTGGAGAAGGAATATGGCAGGAAGTATGAATAAGTGTGGTAGACTGGGGAAACTTAGCAAAGATTTGTTTGTTAGGATCTTAATCTAGCTGTCTTCAGAGATAAGGATGGTCTTTTCCTATAGGTATGGGGAGGGCACCTCTCACATGAGGATTTTATGACCTGTTTCAGGGAAGATGGACAATAGGAGGAGAAAATCCGAATCACTTTCCTGTTTCTGCCCCTTTCTCAAACTCCTTCAGCTTAAAATATTCAGTATGCCAAGGTGCCATATTTGGGGGTCATGTGTCATAAACTACATCAACTGCAGTTGAAATCAGACGAAGTTAGAAAAGGACTTTCAGAAGCTGCCAACAAAGAATTTTCTGTGAACACAGAATGGGCTCTGATTCAGTTCTATTAGCAAAGAAAGATTAAAATCCACCACAGATTTCAAAATCCACTACAAATTTAGACTGACCACTCTTACAGAACCTTCAGGAGTCGATTCTGAAAGTGATATGATCATGTCTCCCTCCTCACTTTCTGTAAAAGATTTTAAGGCAGAAATTGGGTAAACAGCCTCACTGACAGACTTCCAATGCTTAGAAAGAGCCTTAGGAAAAAGCAGAATAAGGCTCAGAATAAATTATGTCTTTCACATGTAACAACTATGTTAAATAAATAACTCCAATAAATTAAACACTGGAGAAAGTAGTCTCTTA